TTCGATGATGTCTGGGAGTTTGAGCTCATCGAAAAATCCTGACGTTTTTCAATCACTCACCTCAGGTGAGGTCGAATATCTTATCGTCCGCTAAGGTCACATCAGGTACGCGGCGTGGCTCTGTGGGGAGCCATCGTAGTGATGCCCCGTCAACATCACTACGCCGATTGTCATGCAAAAGTACGTTTTAGCAATGCTGGTGGAATATATGTTCGCTGTACTCAGCTGAGCTCAGGAGTTTTTTCACTGATTATAGAGTTTAAGGAGTAAAATATATATATTCAAAATCGTTACCTCTGCACACGTATTTTGGGTCTGCAAACAACGCGCATTGTATACATCAAGTGTTTAGGTGATGCAACAGGGCAACCATCATCATCAAGTGGTCAAGATGAGACAGTAGCCGTGGTCCCGAGGCGGCGGCGTGCGTCGATGGCCGAAGAGATCATGCGGACAACTGATATACTCAAGGACTATCGTTGTGGAGTAGGTCGATCACATGAGCCGTTTATTATCGAAAAGTTCGTCTCAGCCATTGAAAGCCGCACCTCAGGGTCTTCTGAAAGCGCTTGCAGAGAGGAGTTCGATTTCAAAAGGTGACGAAATTCAAGCTTAAGAATATTGACTCGTGCATCAGATGGTGTGGTCGTTCTCCCGGACATCAACAGTTTGACTAGGCCTAGTGTAATCGGCGATGAGCCGAGTGAGTTCAATATTCAGTTGCCTCGGGAGAGTCTTTGGCAGATGAAGTGTCGCCTCATCGAGATGGCCACAGCGCTGCTGATATGACTAGGAGGAGACGGATCAGCACATCAGTGGGAAACTCGAACCCTATGGCGAAGTATGGCCCTCAGGGTTTGTCCTTTGGGCACGGGCGGAAATTTCCGAGTGAAAATCTCTCGAAATTTTAAAAGCTCACATACTCAAGAGCATATATGTGAATATATCATATTCAATGTATGCAGATTCAGCCGTCCCACTTGAGCTGTTGCTGGAGTTCATTATTCATCATTAATGCTTGTATCGAATATAAAGTCCGTTGTGTTCTGGAGTGTATCGGTGTATAGTAACAGTAGACTACTGTGCAAGCGATCTCATCAAATCACTTCTGTAGCCAAGAACGGCATCAGCTGACTGTTCTAGTGACATGACTATCATCAGGAATATTCTACCGCGACCACTAGCCTGTAAAACACTCTAACTGTGGCCGACATTGTTTGCAGGAGTGCCAACAGTACGCCTCGAGACTCTCGAGGCGAGAGGACCCCATGGAAAACTACTGGGGATTGACGAGAATTGTGAGGTGTGGATACTAATGAATAGCACAACCCGAAATAAGTTACCAACAACATGATGCAAATACCAATACCAACAATGATGTAGTAGTGAGAGTAGATACCAAAATATTTTCAAGATCTCAAAGTCGGTAACATAGAACAGATTTGATACCTTTGGCGTTTATGTTCCGAGCGTGAGGTGGACACTGTTTTCGAAGGCTTGTGTCACCCAATGTCTTTTATTGCACAATTTCTACCGTGTTCATGCGTGCAACTCTATGTACATGCGTGCCGCCGCAGTTCATAGTGGTTTTACCTGAGAAATTATACTCATTGACATTGATGTGCTCAATCTCCGTTTTACTTAGCCGACGAAGACTATCTTCAACATAAGCTCAGCTGCGGGAGGTCTTCAGCCTTGAGAGACATATCCTGTTCTACGGGGGATGGGGACAGCGACAATGGTGATGCAGCAGTATCGTACACCACTGATGATAATATCATCTGTATGATGCAGATGATACTACCATACTATGTTGATCGATCATTACGAGTTAGCTATAGTCTCAAGGCTCTCCTTCTCCCATTTCAGTTGCGGGTCGGCTTTTATATCGTTAGTTCTCTACAACTCCTTCAAGGTTGTCTTTGACCATAGCTTTCTTACTTGTGCCTGTATCGATTTCTCAATCTATTCCCAGACGATCGTCAAACTGTCTATGAACTGATCGCTGCTCCTATAACGATGGGGTGGCGGAGCAGTGATGTTTTACACTCATTAGCATGCTCAGCAGTATCAACATTTTCGTTCCCCTATGGTTAGTTTGGGATACCAGATGTAGCCAGTGTGGGAAAATACATATGTTATTTTATTTATGTTTTATTTTTTTTGTTACATATCCGCCACATATGCTGGTGACAATATGAGAATTCTGAGGAAATTTGGCTAAATTCTTGTTGCTTTCTGTACACTCCTACCCTAGTTCGTATATGAACTCCTATAGTTAGTGAGGAAACAGCTGAGGAAAGCGAGCATATATCACAACACTGGATGCAGCAGTGAAGTGCTCTTGTCGTGTTCTTCATCACAAGCCCGTTGTTCCCATCAATATGAGTACCCCTAAGCGTGTGAGGGTGTACGATCCTTTGGAGGAGTTCATGTCGGGTGAGCAGTTGAAGTTCGTAGACAACGACGAAGTGCCGCCGTCGGCTCCGCTGTTCATTGTCGGCCAGAAAGCGGCCCTCCAGGCCTTCGCGAAGGAATCCCAGTCGTTGCTTCCTGAGGGCATTCGAGAACAATTGAATAATTTCATCCGAGCTGGTAGGTACTCTCACAGTGTTGGAGTTCGAATATATGTAATCGCTTTCCTCAGCACCTGAGCTCAGGAGTTTCCTATACAGTGTTGGAGTAGGAATATATGTAATCGCTTTCCTCAGCACCTGAGCCCTGGAGTTTCCTATACAGTGTTGGAGTATGAGTATATGTAATCGCTTTCCTCAGCACCTGAGCTCAGGAGTTTCCTATACAGTGTTGGAGTAGGAATATATGTAATCGCTTTCCTCAGCACCTGAGCTCAGGAGTTTCCTATACAGTGTTGGAGTAGGAATATATGTAATCGCTTTCCTCAGCACCTGAGCTCAGGAGTTTCCTATACAGTGTTGGAGTAGGAATATATGTAATCGCTTTCCTCAGCACCTGAGCTCGGGAGTTTCCAAAGCGAATTATAGAAATTTGGGTAGAAGTGTACAGAAACCAATAAAAATTTCCCAAAATTTGCTCATAATTTTTTCATGTAGTTGATGATGTGCATATTTTTCCACAGTAGAGTATGTGTTTGCTCCCCTCAGCTTAGCTCGGGAGTTTTCTTTTCGCTCACTATAGAAATGTGGATAGAAGTGTACAGAAACCGATAAAAAATTCCCAAAATTTTCTGTGCATATTTCCTACAGTAGAATTTCAATTGTAGGTGAGAGCTTTTTCACTGAAAAATAAAATTTTCCGGAAAATTTTCAGGTTTGAATATGAAAATTGTTCTCAGAATTTTCAACAATTTTCTCTTCAATTCTCCTCAATTGTTCAACATTTTCGACAATTTTCACTCAGAATTTTTCAGGTTCTACAGAGGACTCGTGCGAAACTCAGGCAGTGGCGTATGTGAAGGATGGGAATAGTTTCAGAAAATTGGTAATCATATGCATACCGTCGGAGGCCTCAAGAAACAACAAGTAAGTCTGAGGAGGCTCAATCGAGCTCTGTTGAGTTCTCACGAGAACGCGTTTTATATACTCTTATTATTTTACTGACTATTGGGGTCTCAGAAAACTCTCGGGAGTATCTTCCAGAAGTCACTGCATAGTGCAGTGAGTATTACGCCCAGTGTGATGGGAATATATGCACATGGTCAACTACATGTGCTGCCAGGAATATAGAAATTTTGAGAAATTATCGTTAGTTATGGTATATATTCCTAACCAAAATTGTGTAGATTTAAAGGGCATATTCAGAAAAATTACGAGCTCAGTTGAGGAAAGGAAACATATATTCTCACACTGATTACGCCACTTCCCGTGAAACGGGTCGTGAAACTCCAATATACTATAGTTCACATGAGCTTCGTATGTGATATGAGAAGAACTAGTGAGAGAGAAATATATTTCACGACTACTGCATATCACCGCGAATATCGCGTTTTTCAGAGAGTTTTACGCCACTTCACGTAAAACGGGTGAAGTTCCAATATACTATATAGTCTGTTCTACTATATATATGTTTACATGAGTTTCGTATGTGATATGACAAACACTGGTGAGAAATATATTTCGCATTTCACACCGCGAAAAACGCATGTGAGCAGAGAATAACGCGTGGAGTGATTTCTCGCGTGTTATTCGCGAAGTGTTTTCAATTTACTTCACATCGCGTTTTTCACATGGAGTATTACGCCACTTCACGTAAAACGGGTCGTGAAACTCCAATATATATCACTCGAAACTCACGAGAAGGTCCATCGACCACACCGAGTGTTTTTCAGTGCTGCGCGCCCGGATGTGGTTTCGAAGACTTTGGTGAAGTTCCCGCAGTTTTCTGGCATGAACGATCAACCCTTTGCTGCATATGCATTGGGCTTAACGCGAGCTGATGCTGTGGTGACAGCCATAGCGGTCGGGCGAGCGTCACACTTGTTGAATTTCAAAAATGGTAAAGTCAAAAAGCAAGAAAACTCGACGATCATGATTTGGTCTCCGGAGGGTGCATTACCGAAGGAGAGAATTAGCCGTGTTGTTGACGGCATAAGAATGGCAGCATTCTTGACGGAAATGCCCACCAACTATCTTAATACCACAACGTGAGAAACTCATGAATAACAGAGTAAGTAAATGCAATTAGGTATATCAAGTTTATAGAGAAATTGGCGGACCGGCTGAAAAATGATTTCGGCGCTGAAATTGGTTTGGAAATTATCAGAGGAGACCAGCTGAAAGAGCGGGGCTTTGGCGGTTTGTGGAACGTTGGGAAAGCATGTAGGTTTGCATGCCGAACCTTGGGAGTGTGGCTGTTAGAGCTGAAATCACGGAGCGTCGGCTTAGTTCTTTGGAGTTTCACGACCCGTTTTACGTGAAGTGGGTAAAAATGCGATATTCGAAGTCGTTGTGAAATATGTTTTTCACAAGTGTTTTTCATATCACTAGGGTGGTGAAACTCCATTACTCACGTGTTGAGTAAGTCTTTCATCACTCAAGTGTAAGTAACGTAGTTAAGTCACGTTTAAGTAACTTAGTTAAGTCACGTTTAAGTAACTTAGTTAACTCAAGCTGAAGAAACTAAAATCGTAGTACCTTAAATTTAACTCCATTAATCAGCTCAATTCACAAGTCCAAAGTACTTAACGAATATATGAACACTGATTTTAACAACTAATGAATGTCTAGT